TGTCATTATCGTCATCATTATTACTGTCAGCATCAGAGCTTCTGTTTTTTTTTTCCGTGCCTCAAATAAAAAATTGTTTTGAAACAAGAAAATTTAGTTCTTATATCGCGTAGCAGCGTCAGTTGGAACAGAATTGACAACAGCAAACAGAGGGAATAAGAAAGTTTTTTTTTTGTTACATTTTTTTTTTTAATATGACTTTTAAAACTACAAATATGGAAAATAAAGAAAAAAAAAGCTGATGACAGTTATTTGACAAATATATAGGTAAATTTTCTATTTTTCATACTGTTTCTTGTCGTTTAGTCAGTTAAATAAAAATTTGGTGAAAAAGATGAGCAAGAAACTTTGTCTAATGAATAGACTAAAGAAAAGAAAAAAAAAAAAACTAACAGGTTTACTGTTTTTTTTTTGCTATTCTAAATTTTCCTGTTATACAGTTGTTCGAAAAAATATATGATTAAAATAGATGTCTAAGTTTGCTTAACAGTGTTGTTCAGAAGAAAAAACTTTTTTTTTTGCTACTTTTTTGCCGGATGTTTCAATTGTCGAGAAAAACTACAAAACCTAACTGTGGAAACAGCGGCAGTAAGGATGACAAGTCAAAAAAAAAAAGAAAAAGGAAGGTTACTTATATTACTTAACTTTAAACTGAAAAGTATAGTAAAAAAAAAAAACAAGTACCTGTCTGTAGACGATTAGTTACCGTTACAGAATGAACAACCTAAGAATAGAAGTTTCAAGCTTAACCAGTAAATGTTTGCTGTTGAATCTGTTACTTTGCTGTTCAGATTTTTGTCTTCTTCAGAACTGCCGTCGTCGTTACTGCTGCCACCATATTGGTGGCTGCTCTTTTTTGCAGTTTTTTTATTTTTATTTTTTTTTTTGTTCTGTTTTTTTTTGGCAGTGTTTTAAAAAGAATGCATAAAATTTTGACATTTGTTTGATTAACTTTTTAAGCATTGCTGTTATTTAAAATAAATAAAAGAGAAAAAAAACGAAGTTGTCCGAGAATATGACTGAAAAACAGTTTTTTTTTTT